TTGATTGCACTGCACATGTATGTACCACTAGTCGCCTTGAGGCTACTCAGGCGAAAACATGAAACATAGAGGTATCAATTTATATTGCCAAGAACTCCAAAACTTCATGTAACTGTGAGCAAAAACGCTCGATTTTCATCGGCCTTCCCATTCATGCAAATACATACATTAAGTGCACAAGGCAATGGTACAATCTGTAGAGGGCTAACAAAAGATTAAATATTTATGAAAGCAATGAAATACACCATTCATCACTTGACAAAGTAATGGGTAAATCAATCATGCTCAATATGAAGATTTTATACATCCGATAGAAAAATGCAAAGAAAAGTTTCAGCCACATTATGCATATTTGGCCAACTTTGTAATCCATGTATCACTAAGACATCAATAATGAAGAGAATAGAACATCTTTGCCGAAAAAGCAACTATCGCGCTAATCCTGGTAAAGAAAATCAAACTGTCTGCAAAGTTACCGAGATTAGTCTTCTGAAGATCTCTGAGAATCTTTATCCATCCATAAATACCAGCCGAATCGGCAGATTAATTACTAACTATGGATATCAGATGGCTATTTGAACAGCCATTCGAAAGAAGACTTGCTTGGTCCGAAATGATACCATCTCGGTGCTTTCCTCCTCCTCTTCCTCCTCCTCAATTAACAAACTACATGTCAATCTATCCGATCTTGCCGGCAGCAATCCTCCAAAGCATGAAAAACAATGACTAAATTCATTATAATTGCTTTCCCTCGAGTCTGCGATTGTATACCACATTCGCTTTCATCCCCTTCATCGCAACATTGATCCTGCCGTCCTTCTTGATATCTAATTCTTTTCCATCAGTTATTTGGCAATTTTCTGCGAGTTCTTTTTCCTTCGACTTTCCAGTATCAGCAAACAAGTGCTCCTTGATGTATAAGCAGTGCCTTGCATTTCTCCTCCCCGAACTGGTGTTACCACTTGAAGAAGCTCCAAAGGTGTGGATGCAGGATCAAGCTTCCGGCATCCCATAGGACCATTTGCACCTTCCTGACCTGTAAGCAAGTGAGCGGGGACCAGATGAGAGAATATAAACATTTCCTCTCTTGAAATTGTCCCTACTTTACTTGGATCCGGATGCTTTAAAACCTAGTCTTGAACCGACAAATTTTGATGAGTGGAGCAACGGTTTACCATGGCCTTCGCTGCAATCTTCAATCGATTCAACCATATCGTAGCTGTGTATTACCTCATTCGAAGTTAACTTGTTCCTATCAGAAGACCAGTTCAGATCAGGTACATCTTCGTTTTCATACAAAAGTCTCATTTGATCCTTTTTTTAGCTGTTGTGAGAGTCAGTGATGGTCGTCCTTGAGATTTTTAATGCATCGCCATGCTTCTCGAGTTTTAGCTTGGCTCTGTTGGGATTTTGCGAAAGTTAATGACTGCTCATGTTTTATGTGACATGAAGATGTGAGTCGACTTAAATAGAAATGGAGCACAGAGTAGCAACAACAAGAGCAATGAAGCACAGACCAGATCGACTTTCGACTCCTTTTCACCCTCGGTCGTCGGAACATGATTGGCAGTGGTCAGAGACGATGGCGATTGCACGGTGGTTGGAAGTGACGATGATCGGTTGTCATGGTGGCGGTCCGCGCTCGGTGGCCGGCAACAATATCCACGTACTCCATCACTCCATTATTGGAAGATAACATGGTTTGCTTGTTCTTCTTGTTTTGATAATTTTTTTGTAACTTTTTTATTCAATCCGGGTTTATCCCACTCCATGTCCTGGATTTCTTATCCAACATTTAATCTTAGTTTATCTAGGATTATCCAGTCCGGAGGATGTAGCCAAACACTGGATATCCCGACTCAAACCCAGATTACCAAAGATTTCCCTATCCGTAGATACCCATAGGTCTTGGATTCTAGTTCTCTCATCAGGTCCCTACTCACTTACTAACAGGTCAAGAAGGTGAAAATGCTCCTATTAGATGCTGGGAGCTTGATCCCGCATCCACACCTTTGGAGCTTCTTCAAGTGGTAACACAAGTTCAGGGGGGGGGAGAAACTTGTTCGAAGGGCACTGCTGATACAATTAACAAGCACTTGTTTGCTGATACTGGAAAGTTGGTGGAAAAAGAACTCGGAGAAAGTGGCGAAACAACTGATGTAAAAGAAATGGATGCCAAGATGGACAACGGGACCAATGTTGCAATGTAGGGGACGAAAGCAGGTGTACTAACTCAAACTTAAGGGAAAGCAGTGATGACGAATATAGCCATTCTTTTGCATGCTTTAGGAGCACCGCGCAACCGGTTAGATAGGATAGATTGACATGTTTATTGTGCATAGTTCACGTGGACCTATCTCGGGGCTTAATATCGAGGCATTGATACTATTCCCCAATAAGGCTGTGGTTATTTCTTTCCTCATATCTTGCTTTATTATTGCTTGGTCGCATTATTTGTTGTTTGAATGTCAACGCATAATAGCTTAGATTTCTACTACATTCGTTTTCATAAGAAAATAACAAAAACAAAAGGACCGTATTGCATGCTAAACCTTTTATGAAAGAGAAAAAAGGTAATGAATATAGTATAATCAAGTTTCCAAACCCACGAATTTCTAGTTCACGGAAGTAAGGCGGACACTCGCATCTTAGGGGCCCATAATAAGTTAGTAGTGATTCCTAAGTAAAATCAATTAGCAATTCATGAGAAAACCTTTTGTGATGAGTAGGGTATAGGAGCCTTTGCTCCACTATCAACCACTGGAATGGTATTTTGCCTGCACGTATTAAGCGCAAGCACCACCATTTGGTGATCCGTCAAACTCCCTTGAGTTCACCTCGAGAGGGTTGCAGAAGCTCCTGCAGTCAACGACGATCGAGAAGGTCAAGCTATACATTGCCAATCCCGTGATAATCAAGGTGTTGGCGAACACCAGCATTGATACCGTCACTGGATACTCACAATTATGATGGTCAACAACTCATTCTTCTCCCTTCTTCCCCTCTCACCATCACCGACAACCTCCCGCCAGCCATTTTATGTACAAGGGCCAGTGATGACTAGACCGCTAGATCAGCATTTTCAAGCAAAATTAAATTGGAATGATCACATTTGAATTTTGAGCAAAAGGTTTAGGACTACAACCATAAAAATTGAAATGTTGAGGACTATATCAGCACCTACACAATATGTTTAGAACTAATTGGGTAATTTTCGCAAAATTTCATGCCACTTGAAGGTTCAATTACGCATTATTTTTATGTGCTTAAGCAAAACAACAAATAGGGGATATATTCATATATAAATTGACTTGATCCTTTGGGAGCAAAGCAGAATATTAAAAGAAATCAAAAGAAAAGGCAACTATAAGAACAATCATTTGTATGTAATGGCCGTTGGCCTATAGTTCTTAAAGCATATGTAGTTGTACCCAACAAAAAAAGACGAAGAAAAGAACAAAGAGATGGCATCTCGTCCTATAACATAGAAAGAGAGAGGAATAAGATAGCAAATGGATCTTTCTCTCACTAAAGTTTATTCAACATGACGAGATATTCATCTTGTCTGGCAGGAAATTCCTCAATATAATTATTATTGTTATTATTATTAATTTCAAGAATATAAACATGACTCTTTTCTCGAAATCTAACTCTCTTCTTTTCCTTTCAGATTTGTACGGACAACGAGAGCTTTCGATTTTACGGTAAGTTCTTCTTCTTCTTCTTCTTTTTGAGGTTTTGAATTATTTGTCGGGCTGTAGATGCGATTAACAAGATGTTGAATTGACTGGGGTTCTCTCAGAGATGTAGTAGTTTTGTATTAACTTTTTCCAACCATGCTGTGGAGACCATCATGAGTGCATAGCGTTAGTGCTTATTTCTGAATTTCCCCCACTTGATTTAACTTCCTCGAAGTCCTCTAATACTTCTTCCCATTTATAAAATACAAACTAGCCATTATGCGGAGTGTAAATAATTAAGCCCTTCTCTTAACTGATTGTCAGACCTATCTTATGCCTCGATATCACAGATAATCAATTGTTAGATGCAAAATTTATGCAGATGCTTAACATGACTGGCGATTTGTGTGGCGTATTATGACTGCGTCTGTAATTCGCGTTAATTTGTCTCGATCTAAAACATCTTTATTTTAATTCTACATGCCAAATGATTGGCTACGATGAAAACATTTAATGTCAATTATTGTCAACTTAAAAATTAGACAGGATGTGTCATGCCATATTCGATTTTTGTCTTGGTAATTCATGTTTTATCTTGTATTTGTTTGTGGAGTAAAACGTGGTCATGTCCATTCTTGTCAGCCCTAAATATATATCCCATGAGCCTATTTAAAAAGTTGCCTGTGTGGTTAGCACTTATAAGCACTGTGATTGGTAATGAATGCAAGGACATCGATACCGTTTTCTCATTCCTTTCAAATAAGTTGCATTGCTTCCATTCAAATATGGGCCAAGCCCACATAAGGAGTATGTACTTGAAGAATCAAACAGGTTGGCGACCATTTTAGATGGGTGTTAACTTATGGATCAGTCTACAGTGTATCTCCAACCGATGTGAGTCTACAGATGTCATGAACGCAAAACTAAAGACTAACAAGGGGACCTAGTGGGAATATGTTTATTGGGGAGCAAAAATTTGTGAACAGAATGGTTTAGATTACAAGAATATATGAGCTAGCTAGGAAGTGCCCCGATGAAATTAACATGGAAAAAGAGGATTTTATTCGATCATTTTCACCTAAAAGAACCCGTAAAGAGAAGATGTACCAATCAGCTTTATCAAATTCCAATCCTTCTGGGGTGATGCCTTTTTCGGAATCCCCCATTTAGATTTCCAATTTTTTTGTTTTCCCTTTTGCGCAATCTTGATTTTGCAGAAGGCAAAGTGAGGAATATATCAGAAAGGAAAATCATGCGAACCCTCAAGCCATCAGATTGAACAATCAAAAGGGATTCTCGAAACCCATACAAGTATAAAAGACCACGTTCTCATATCTAAAATTTTCGTCACCTGAAGTCCATTGGCACAACCCTTCTTCAAGTGGTTGCACTTCAATCTTCCTCTCTCTCTCTCTCTCTCTTCCAATTTGTGATTTTTCTCAAGGTTAGTACGAGTCATATCGATAGTATTTTGTAGCTCATGATATATGAACATAGTTCCCTAAAAATTTCAAAAGTGACTATGTTCCCCCTCCCTTTCATTTTTTCTATAGCAAATGAGCAGGCCTGGAGATTGGAACTGCCAGTCGTGCCACCACCTGAACTTCCAACGGCGAGACTTGTGCCAGAGATGCGGAGAACCACGCCCCAGTAGTTTAGGCGGAGGAAGGAGCAACTCGTCTTTCCGGTCTGGCGCTGCCGTGGATGTGAAGCTTGGTGATTGGTATTGCGGCGTCGGGGGTTGTGGAGCGCACAATTTTGCTAGCCGCTTGAGCTGCTTCAAGTGCGGCATGGCAAAGGATGAATCACCAACCGGCGGTGGGTATGATGGCGACATGCCTCGGATGCGAGGTTTCGGGTACGGCAGCGGTAGTAGCGCGAGTCGGCCCGGGTGGAAGCCTGGCGATTGGATATGTGGGAGGTACATTTTTCTTAGTTAAAAAGTAGTCAACTTGACATAATACCTAATTCGCATGCATGCCTTTCTACATGTATCTCTACACCCCAAAGGAACATGGCATCTATTAGTACACATCTAAATTTATATAATATATGAGATACTCTTATACGGTTAAACATTAGATGCGCTCGCATGATATGTACAAGATAAATCTATATGCACACCTTTTTGTGGGAATATAATCAGTTTAGATAGTAACCGATCCTTCTTGTATCAATCTTTCTTTCTTTCTTTCTACGCATTCCAATAGAATTTCGACATTCGCTGTCATTTTACGTGATAGAATGCCCTAAGAAGAAGAGAAAAGGACTTCGTTGATTTATTGAATTTGATAAGCCAAACTATGAAATGAGCAGGCCGGGGTGCAACGAGCACAACTTTGCGAGCAGGACAGAATGTTTCAGATGCAATGCACCAAGAGAATCTGGTGGAAATTCTTGCTCTTCTTCGTAGCCTCATTCGACTTGATTAAGGTAATTACTAAGCAGAAGTGTCATGTACATGTGACCAAGTGTTTTTTGCTCTCTCTCTTTCTGACCTAACATGTTCCGGTCACTTAATTTCTCTATTATCGGTTAATTTCAGGAAAATCTCTTGAAGACCGATCGAGCCATGGCTAGTTTTTTGGGCCTTTAACTCCAAAATTTTTCGTTTCGCATAAGATGTTCGGAGAAATTATTGGAGATGATGACTCAAATGAAAGGAGGACAAATAGTTGCGAGGGTTTTGGAGTTTGTTTAAGTTCTTGCTCATACTTTGTTTATTGTGCCTTTGACATATTATAAAGCTCCTAATAAGCGACAGGATATAGTTTGTTTTTTTTTGGTCGAAGACAGGATATAGTTTACCGGCCTCTTTTTACCCAATGAAAGTGCCCATTGTTCTCGGTTTTGCCCCTTTCAATACCACAAAAAAAAACAAAAAGTGCCCATTGTCGTACACAGACTTACATTTCCATGGAAGTGGTCCAAACTAAAATTCTTAATGCAGCTCTTCCTTGCGATGCACTGTTTTGAGGTGATTCATGAAAAATCATGAGACCGCGTTTCGAAGTTAAATCAAATCCACTAAGATAATACGGTTGTTATGAGCTTAACAAATGGTCGAGATTCTCTTGATTTATATCGTGTTTTTGGTTTGAACTCCATACGAATTGGGTCTCGGGTTAGATCACACAAGAAAACCCTTCGTGTTCGGGTCAGATCGGATATTAGTAAGGACCTGAATCGAACCGGTCTATTGACACTCATACCTTATACCTTGAAAAGGATGTCACGAAATAACATAAGTATTTAATAACCGATACCACACCCATAAGAATTGCATATGTTCCTCCCGTTCTAATAGTTGAAAACCCTAACTTGCCTTTCCCTATTTTTCCCTTGCAATAAATCATCACCACCACTAGAAAAGCACTACAAAAAAACATGGATTTTGCCACGGAAATTTGCGACGAGAAATTTTTCGTCGCTAATTTGCGACGAAATTTGCAACGGATTTTTTTTTCCGTCGCAAATTAGCGATGAATAATTTTCGTCGCTAATTTGCGACGGAATTTGCCACGAAATAAAAATTCGTCGCAAATTAGCGACGGAAAATAAATCCGTCGCTAATTCCGTCACAAATGAGCGACGACCAACTTTCCGTCGATAATTTGCGACGGAAAATAAATCCGTCGCTAATTCCGTCGCAAATTAGTGATAGAAAATTGGTCGTCGCTAATTTGTGACGGAAAATAAATCTGTCGCTAATTAGTGACGGATTTTGCGACGGATTGGAAAATGCCCTTTATTTTTGGAATCCGTCGCAAAATTCGTCGCAAATTTACGATGGAAAATAAATCCGTCACAAATTTGCGACGGATTGGAAAATGCCCTCTATTTTTGGAATCCGTCGCAAAATAAATCCGTCGCAAATTCGCGACTGTTTTATTTTCTTGTCGCTAAATCCATCTTAGCGACGGATTTAGCGACAAAAATCACTTTCGCACCTTTGTCGCTGAATCCGTCGCTAAATTTAGCGACGAACTCTGAATTTAGTCCCCCGCCAATCTCTCAAATCTGTCCGCCCTCACCCCAGTTTCTCTCTCTCTCTCTCTCTGCTATTCCTCAGAACCCCCCCCTCCCCCCTCCGCCAAACACCTCTCCGTCGCTCCCTCCTCCCCTCCGCCAGTCATGATGGCCACCCTCACCGCCGCCGCCGCCGCCGCCGCCGCCGCCGTTGCCTCCTCCTCCGTCGCCATCCGCCCGTTCCGCGCCCACAAGCCCTCCCGCGCGCCCCGCCGGGATCCGGTGCTCCGTCACCGAGGGCCCCGCGATCTCCCAGCCGAGGGCCGCCGGCGGGGGACTGGTTGATTGCGTGGTGGTCGGGGGCGGGATCAGCGGGCTCTGCATCGCCCAGGCGCTCGCCACGAAACACCGCGACAGGGCCCCCAACGTGGTCGTCACCGAGGCCAGGGACCGCGTCGACGACAACATCACCACCGTCGAGAGGGACGGCTACCTGTGGGAGGAGGGCCCCAATAGTTTCCAGCCATTCCGAGATTTGTACGTTCCGTCTACTCTGATTTTGTGACCTTTTTATTGAAGTTCTCGAGTATGTTTGTGTGTTAACTGATAGATACATCGTCGGATTATTGTAATGGTTGTCGTTGCTCTTGTTTCGTTAGAATTGGGTATAGTCTTGATCGAGAAATGGAGATGATGTTTGTGAGTTTATAGGGTAAATGGGTCAGGATAGGGTGCTTTGCAAGTGTTTGATGAAGAATGACCCAGTTCTCCAATTTGCGAATAGACGTGCAATTTTGGACTTTTTTTATGCTGTTGCGAATAGCGGGGCGAGGCTCGAATCGGCGTGAGTTCTTTCTTGGGTGTTCTTCCTTTTTTTTTTCTGGGGGAAAGGAAGAAAATGGAGAGGACAAAGCTATCGTTGGATAGATGCTCAAGAACACTCAGACTTCACTTGCAGAAGGTAGTGCTTCATGTGTTAATTTTTTTGAAGCTTTCTTTGGATAGATGCTCATTCTCTTGCTTGTCACTTCAGAACAAGAACGCAATCGCCAGTTGACAAAGCCTGTAACTGCTGAAAAGGTAGGATATGGTTCTATGTATTGTTGATATTCGCATTGAGGTTGGCAATGAGAACCTTGCCAGAGTACAGTTGTGCTGTTTTTGTGCATATTGGTCATCACTTTTGTTTGTTTGCAGATGGAAACAAGAAAAGCAGAGCTTGAGACTAACTTTGCAACTAATCTCAAGAGGCAGAAGCAAGAGTATGAGGCTATTATATCCTCATCAGAGACTGATTTGCATGAAAATGAAGTGGAATCAAAGTGGCAGGAGCTAAAAGATACTAAATCATTGGCCATTGATGCAACCCAGCGATTAGAAGGTAGAAATTTTGGATTGATCGGAATATTGTTGTCTTGAAGCTTTAGATTTTGTTCGCGCTTTTGATTGAAACAAAAATTATCAGGAATTAATAGAAGCACAGAGGAAACAAATAAGCAAATCAAAAAGATCAAAGATGAGATGGCAAAGTTGAAGGTACTATTTAATTTTTTCAGTGTGGACTAAATGTTGGTATTCAACTCTTTGGTTTCTTCTCAAATGATTGCTCGAATGCAGGCTTTGGAGGACACCTATGAGAAAACACTTCAAGATGAAACTAAAGAACTTGAACAACTCTTTAGCCGGAGGAATACTCTTATAGCTAAAAAGATGAGTACTCAAAAAAGTTAAGGAACTTGGGCCCGTTATCTTCTAATGCCTTTGAGACGTATGTTCCATTGTCTAACTGTGAAAATGTTTTGACTTTGAAAATGCTTTTGAGGCGTATGTTCCCTTTGCTACTGAATTTTAATTTGGTTTCCACTATTGAAGCTCATCATACCTCATTACATATGTTTGAGATTATAGTTATAGACGGAGGAGCATCAAAGAGTTGCAGAAGATGCTTCACAGATGCAATGAGCAGCTCCGACAGTTTAGTCATGTAAACGAGAAAGCACTTGATCAGTATGTGAACTTCACAGAGCAAAGGAAGTAAGCATCTCACATGGACCGTGTCTTTAGTTTTGTTCAGTATTTATATGATGGAGATTGTCGCTAAAAGCCGGATATTCTTTTTTGATTCATTTCTGTCATCATTGTTTATTGTGCAAGATTAGTTATTATGCAAGATTATTTATTCTCTCATTATGTGTACTATAAAGAAAATATTTATGTCATTCTTGTGGAAAATGTAGATGAATGTATTTCATTTTCATATTATTATAATATTTTGATGTTATTAAGTGCTTAATCAATGTTAAATATAAATTTCAGAAATTAATTTTGCTTTTAATTAAGTTTAAAATCGAAAAATAAAATAAATGATTTTATCGTACGATCACAAATTATAAAAGTTCGTTACAAAAATAAAATTTCGTCGCTAATTTCGTCCCTAAACGATATTCGTCGCTAAAGAATTAATAAAAAATCGTTGCTAAATTTGTTCATGAATAATGTTCATGGCAAAAGTCAAAATTTTTCGTGACAAATTTGCGACGAATTTTGCCACGAATACAGTTCGTGACAAATTAGCGACGAATTTTGCGACGGATTCCAAAAATAAAGGGCATTTTCCAATCCGTCGCAAATTTGCGACGGATTGAAAAATGCCCTTTATTTTTGGAATCCGTCGCAAATTTGCCACAGAAAAATAAATCCGTCGCAATTGCGACGGATTGAAAATGTCCTTTATTTTTGGAATCCGTCGCAAAATCCGTCACAATTTTTGTGACGGAAAATTTTTGCGACTAATTTTGCGACGAATTATTTGCGACGGATAAAGTTCGTGGCTAATTTGCGACGAATTTTGCAACGAATTATTTCCGACGAATTTTGCGACGAATTTTTTTCCGTCGCAATTTAGCGATGGAAATTGAAATTTTCTGTTGAAAAATTTTGCGACGCCGAATTAGCGATGGAATTTTTTCCGTCACAAATTCGATTAGCGATGGATTTTGCCAAATTTTTCGTCGCAAAATTTATCGCTAATCCCTTGTTTTTTTGTAGTGAAGTGTGGTTGTCGTCGGCCTCTGGGCACTGCAATTCCGAGCTAGAACTCTTTCGCCTGTCATCCACGTACGCGTTGAAAAGAAGATGCACTCGCAGGTCTATTCAATATGTCAGTTTCACTCTTTAAATTGAAAGAGTCTTGAGTATATCCTAGTACAATAATATACATCTTTTAGTACTCGATCCATACCGATTAATGAAAGATCGACTCACGAATCACTTCACACTTCATGCTTATAATGCTAATCATACAAGCAAAGAATTGGATATCAACTTTAAAAAATATGTTTACATCCATCTACGATTTTTATAGAATGCACAGCATACATTAATTTGTTATCCAACTCATATTTATCAACATTGATTAGAGTAGCCATGATTTGAAAAATCGACCAATTATCCAAATAAACGGTGATTAATATGGATTAATTAGTAAATGAGCTATATAGGTTGTACATTTGAAATGATCCGTCTAACTATATCCCAATCAGGTGGATCGGCCATGTATTAACATTGGGACGTCACAATTTATATATTTCTTCTACTCCAATTGTCGAGACGTTGACACCGTGGTGTGTCCACCGTGCACGGAGTGTCCCCACATTGATACGTGGCGCATCCGTTGCGTACCGAGTGTCATTGATCTTTATCCGCACTTTCAACACGCTTTGACGTACACATTCAACATGTATATCAACTTTGACATGCATTTTTACGTGAATTACGCCTCTTGTGATATGCATTTTATAGTATGTTATATTTAGCCTTGAAATATTTTTACACATGTCTACTACTGAGAACTGCTATATACGAACATAAAAACTTCAAAAAACTAATAAAACCTTATATATTGAAGAGTCAAATACAATTTTGGTCTTCTAAGTTTCGATATTTGTGCAATTTGATCCACTAATTTTTATTTTGTTCATATAAACATTCTAACTTTTGGATTAGGACCCTTTGGTCCTCCAAGTTTTATTTTGTGCAATCTAGTACTCTAAATTTCGTGAATTGTGCAATCAATCAACCACTTTAACTAAACAGCCAAAGTAAGAAACCGAACAATCGCTCTTTAGTGTGAGTTGCCATATAATAAAGTGAGGGTATGGATGCTATTTATTAATTTTTAGGGATAATGACACAATCTCTGAACTTTGGCCTAATGTGCAATTTAGTCTATGAAGTTTTAATTTGTTCAATATAGTCCATGAACTTTAGCCTAATGTTCAATATGGTGTTTGAATTTTTAATTTGTTCAATGTGGTCCTTAAACTTTTGGTACATGTTCAATTTAGTCCATAAACTATATAAAAATGTTCAATACATTTTAGTGATGAGCGACATATGGTTTATTTGCTCCGGAGTTCTTCTCAAATAAGAAAGTTAATGGTTTGCTTGCAAGTTTCTTTTGGCTAAGTTAGGTTTGTAAATTGCATCAAGTTTCTTATTTTAGTTGATGGTTTTGAATTTTGTGGAGCTATAGTTTGAACATATGGTGTTTAATCAAAATGGTTGCCAGTCAAAATATGTATGAAACTCCTTAAAATCGAGTTAGCTTGTCTCCAATCGAAACATGCATGCTTCTTTGTGTGGGGTTTGGTTCATTAATCATGTCCGAAACGAAAGAGTTCTAAACTTCACTAGGCAAACGACAATGAAAAACGGCGAGATTATTTAACTTCGCTAGAGTTTTGTATCATGTTTACATGTTTTTGTCCAGACTCTTCTACCGGTAGTTCCATTACCGGTAGAAACAATTCAAAAGCCCCGCAAATTGTCCAAAAATTCTGACCTCTATAGATGCGAGTAAGCCTTATTCGAACTTTGGATCACGACTCTTTCTCCTGACCGGATTGAAGCGCCACGAACTTTGGATCATTGTCAGAAGATGCAGCACTTGCAATAATAAGATTTTTTTCCACGCGTCCAATCCGCTAGTAGCTAAAATAAATGGAGCAAGAACTGAGTACGTCAGAGTGCTTTTGCCATCCATTCGAGACCAAATGAAAAATAAAAAAATTAGGAGAGTGCAAAACAGACTGCCCAAACTAGAAACTGCTCGAACCGGCCGGTTTAATCTGGTTCCTAGTTCCTAAAAGTGAAAGCGGTGTTCGGGCGGTTCGGTGACCAACTGGACCGGACCGACTCATATATTTTTTTTAGTTTTTTTATTTCTACAAAAAAATTAGTAAAATATAAACTAAATCCTAAGTGGAGTATGTTTTTTAGTTCATCTTTTTAATTTGAGGATCATTACTGATATTTGATCATTCATGGTTGCAAAAGTTAGGGTCCTTTTACTAAGATCTTTTTCTAAAAAAGCAGTGGGGAATACCAAGAAACGGCATCATGTAGTCGGGAAAAAAAAAGTGACCTGGTCCTTGTTCTAGGACCAACCAGTCCTGTCCCCAGTCCAGTTCCCGATTCCACCTTGAAATTAGAACAAATCGGGAACCAATCACACCAAAAAAAGTCATTTAAAGAAATTCAAATTGCTCTGGACACCATCAATGTGCCACTAACAAAATCATGACAAGATTTTTACTAAAAGAAGGGGCACTGACTCAAAGCTTCCGTCCAGCAATAATCATGATGATGAGCATGCGAGAATATTCGACCCTTGGAGCATTAACTCAGCGCCCAAAAGTCGGCCAAGAGTGCGCTCATACATACCTTGCTTAAAAGCAATTCTTAAGGAAATACCTTATACAATTCTACTGATTCTGGAATAAAATCTGACCTCAGCACCAGTAAATCGTAGCCCTTCCGCCTTAGATCTATAAGATATTATACCAAAAATATATCCTTACCATATACGTACTTTCCATATCCATTTCTGTATACAAATAACGAGTGCTAACATGCGGCCACAGGTCAGAGCGTTACGACCATCCCTCTGCCATTTTCCCTAACGTCCATCTCTTGGGCAGTCTGTTGAACACCACTGCTTGCTTGAGCCTGGATGGTTGTAGGCCATACTATACTCGCTATAGGGTGGCTTGTTCTTGGCTTTCTGGGGTCATCATTTTAAATTTCTTCAATCCTCCTGGTATTGGCTGGGATCATGGTCTGAACTTCCAGAAGGACTATGCTCTGCTATGTCCTGGCACGGTTCCTTCATTCAAATCGCTCAGAGAAAGGTTTCCTTACAATGCTTGAACTACTTGATTACACGAAGCTCAAATCTTATTCCACACTAGTAGACCCATTCTCATATTGAAAAAAAGCTTTTACAGATAGGCAATGCGCCTGTGTCATTGGTGGACGGTGTCGTGCAGGATGTTGAACACGAGCAGCAGCACAAGCAATCATCTGAATCATTTCCTCCGTGTCATAGCCCTTGTGCAGTTTTGGATCAACAATGGCAT